TAAAATTTGAGATTCGGAATTGCAGTGTCTCATTGGTCGTTGTTTTTTAAATGTATTGTGGTGACATTGGTCAACATGAACATATAGGTTTGAGGTGTAGGTGTCTTCTCTCTTTTATATACAATATTTAAATTATATGTTATGTGAAATTTTTTCTGAATCATCTGAGGGTAAATTATATACATCATGGTCCTTTATCTAAATACTTTCGTGTGGGCAGTCCAAGAATAGGGATATTCTTTTATATAACTAGAACAGTAAGTTTATCTTTGGTATAACCCTTTTATCTAATTTTCTGTTCATACTCCAATTTTGTCAATAATGTCCTTGTTGCATTCTCCCCTTCCTGTGCAGGATTTAGTCTAGGCTCAGGTATGGCATTTAGTTGTCATGTCTCTTTTGCCTCTCTCTCTCTCTTTTTAAGAAATGTATTTTATTTAATCACACCAGGGCATATTGATTCCACTGATTTTTTAGAGAGAGTGGAAGGCATCCACTCCCCAACACTTTTCCATTTCGTTGGAAAATTGTAGTAAAATACTTTTATTGGAACAAGGCCCTTCACTAAAATCTACCTGAGAATATTTATAATAAACATAGTATTTGCCATGCTCCAATGTGAAAGGCACTCTTCCATAGGGTCGTCCTACAAGCTGTGTATAAAGCTGTATATGGGGAGCCACAGAAGGGTGTCTGCCCAGGAGGGACACCGTCCTGTGGGGGCCTGTGCAGACAGGACCGAGGAGAGGAGGAGGAGTGGTTTGGAGGTTGAACCTACAATATTTTGGAGGCAAAGGAATTGGATGAGGAGATGGCAAAGAGGATGAGATGGCAATGACTCAGGTTTGTGGGTGGCAGTGCCATTCGCTGAGATGGGCATGACGGGGAGAAGACTAGGGTCTCTGGGTGGGGAAGACAAAGAAATCAGGAGCCAGTAAAGCCCATTTTCTCTTGAATGCTCTGTTTTCAACGAAAAGTTAACTAAACTCATGTCTTTTCCAAAATCAGTAGTACCTTTGATAAACTTACCCATTAGAATCAGGGATATAACAAGATCTTAGCCTTTCCGACTTTTAGAATTGGATTACACTCAAATTGTACTAACATTTGCAAGTTCCTCTATTTTTGTAAGCCCTCTGCCAGACTTACACACCTTTTCTCATTTCCTTCCCTCAGCCATCCATGAGGTATTTCCTTTTTTTTTAAATCTTCATTTTACAGGGGAGGTGTGAGGCCTAGAGAGAGATCTTATTGCTTGATTTGAACATGGCCCCACAGTAGCTCCTGCTGCCTGAGACTTTGTTGCACCCCCCCAACCCCCCTTTTGTCAATGCCATACAACAGAACTTTCAGCAATGGTGGAAATATGTTATATCTGCGCTGTCCACCAATCCTGTGGCTCTTAAGTATTTGAAATGTGGTCAGTGTGACTGAGGAACTGAATTTTTAATTTAGAAAACGACAGTGACTACTGTATTTGCAGCACAGCTTTAAGTCAAAGGTCTCCATAGGGGTTCATGCAGTCCAGGGAGGGAACAGAACATGCAGAGAAAACACACACACATACACACATTTTGAATCATTACTGATCTTTTCCTGTAATGGTTGGTTGCCTCCCACACGAGCCCCAGCTGAGGATTGAACCCACAATCTAGGTATGTGCCCTGACCAGGAATTGAACCCATGACCTTCCAGGGCATGGGACGATGCTCCAACCAAGCCACACCAGCCGGAGCCATGGATAAGTTTTTCAATGAAGTAGAAATCACATTCAAGTACTCACACACAAAAAGACACAATAGCTGCTTTATTCTATAGAAAATTCCTAAATTATTTACATATAACCTTCCCTGCCAGTAGAGGGAAATTATACAACAAATACCTTACTCCTCAACATTAACTTCTGTAAATGACAAATAAAACATAAACCTCAACAAGCAATCATTGGAAAGCCTTACCTTCTATAATACTAGGTAAAAAAAAAACAAAAACAAAAAAAAAACTAGGTTGAAATAAGTATACAACCTGGCCACCAGTGTGGCTCAATGGTTGAGCATCGACCCATGAACCAGGAGGTCACAGTCAATTCCAGGTCAGGGCACATGCCCAGATTGCAGGCTTGATCCCCAGTAGCGGGTATGCAGGAGGCAGCTGATAACTGATTCTCATCATTGATGTTTCTATCTCTCTCCTTTCTTCTCTGAAATCAATAAAATCTATTTTAAAAAATAATAACTATACAACCTGCAAAGTTAGAACACTGCATTAAGTTTGTACAGTGCCAGGTTAAATAAAATTCAACAGAAACTTTAAATATTATCAGGAGAATCTATTATAAGAAGCAATTTTTTTTTACTAGAATACTGGTATAGATAGATCATTCATACTTTTATGTAAAGAAAAAAACTTAAGCATGATATAATTAAAATTCATTGTTAAATAAAAGTAAAAAATTGTATAGTTAAGAGCCAGATAGACCTGGGTTCAAATTCCAATTCTGCAATTTATTAGCTGTATAACTTTATGTAAATGACTTAACTGTTCTGTGCCTCAATTTTCTTACTAGTAAAATTTGTGGCCCTGACTGGTTTGGCTCAGTGGATAGAGCGTCGGCCTGTGGACTCAAGGGTCCCAGGTTCGATTCCCGTCGGGGGCATGTGCCTTGGTTGCGGGCACGTCCCCAGTGGGGAGTGTGCAGGAGGCGGCTGATCGATGTTTCTCTCTCATCGATGTTTCTGACTCTCTGTCCCTCTCCCTTCCTCTCTGTGAAAAATCAATAAAATATATATTTAAAAAAAATAAAAAAAAAATTTGTGAAAGCGGGAAAAATAATCTCTGCTCCCTAGGATTATAAAGATAAAGGATAACAGAAGTAAAGCAAATAAATATAAGTGAATAGTAAGTGCCTGGCAAATAGTAGGTGCTCAATAAACAACGGACATGGTGGTAGTAGTAAATATTGTTGCTATTGAGATAATTAATAAAATATATAGTTTTACCACTTGCCTGAAAAGGCAGGAAATAGCAAATGAAATCTTCACATGTCTGATTCACAGATCCTGGCCAACTCTACAAAGGCCCCTCCTCTATATTGGTGCCTCTCTGATGACTCTTTGTACATTTTAAGTTGCAATAAACAAGGAATGCTCACAAGCAGGACAAATCATCTGTAAACAAGCTGTCCTTCAGCAACAACCACCCAATCACACTGCTCACCTGGTCTCCCTCTGACAATGTATGCAGTCGCCCCTGACACCCATCTCCAGCCCAGGTTTCTACCCAAACCCATCCCCATTTGGACTCAGGGACCGAGGCTGCCTTTGCTCTTATGGTTTTACCATCTCAGTATCTGGCCCTCACTATCCCCATGCAGGGGAAGGGAGAGCGGAAAGTTTGCACAGGTCTTTTCACTGCCTCCGTCCAGAAGAGACATACTGGTTTTTGTTCACAGCCTATGGGTCAGCACCAGGCAATTGTGCAGCCGGGAAGGAGAAAAAACGATATACTGGTGAAAACGAACACTGTCTACCATGGCCTTGTGTTACTTTCACTTTTTAGTTGAGAAATATTGGAATCATATAACCCCAAGCACTGCTGGCAGCCATGTCAGCACCATGAAGGAAGTCTGCCCTCAGATGCAGCTCACATAGTGGAAGCCGAGCAGAGAGGAAGAGAAACGAAACCTTGACATCATCAAGCCGTATCTACAGCCTAAACCATCTCTGTCTGGTCTTTTTAGGAGAAATGAGGAATTCCCTTGAGTGTTTAAGGCAGTGTAGGTTGGGTTTCCTGTTGATTTCAACAAAGACTCCTAATTCACAATATCAACACGCTGATCCAGCCACCTTGAGTCACTTTTGGTTCTCTAAAATACATTTATTTTTATTTCAAAACTAGAGGCCCGATGCACGAAATTCATGCAAGAGTAGGCCTTCCTTCCCCCGGCTGCCAGCACCGGCTTCCCTCTGGCACCCGGGACCCGAGCTTCCCTCACAGCCCCGGCTTCGTCCAGAAGGTCGCCCAGAAGGATGTCTTGTCTAATTAGCATATTATGCTTTTATTATTGTAGATCAGCCCAAAATGAATTGAGCATAGTCACCATAAAAGCAAGATCTGGGCCCTTCTTGTTACGGCTGAAGAGCAAAATGACCATCGGCGACATCTAGGAAAGCTTTTAACAACTGAGAACATGGCAGCTGTGGAGGAGTGCCATTCCTTAAGTGTTAACTTGCAGATATATCGGTCATTTTAGGGCATCTGCCTGGATAAATGACCGTGGGCTGCTTTCTGAGGTCCAAGCTTCTCTCAAAATTAGCTGCTGAGCAATCAGGTTGGACGCTACTGAGGAGAAACCTGGGCACCGTGTAAAGACCCTCATCTGAGGCCTGCCGACTCCTGTATGAAAAGCACGTGGGTAGAAAAACTCCTGTTGAGTCAAAGTTGTGCTTCTAACTTCCTGATGTGGTCACATGAATGGGGAAGTGTGTGTCCCGCTCGGTGTGCGCTAAGCAGCTCCAACCAGCGTGGCTGAGTCAAGTGGAAAGCGCTTCAAGCTAACATCAAAAGGGGGAAATGGAGAAGCATCTTCAATCAGGGGAGACAGACTCCCCCCGCCCTTCGTATTATAATTCCCTCACTCTCTCGCCACATTTAAACCGCTATAGAAGCTCCCAAGCAAAGTGATAGAACAACATTTGAAAGTTGCCAAGGGAGACCTTCCAGAAAGAGTGAGGTGAGTGAAACACTTGGTCTTCACAGTCCTACCACTTCATCTTGTCTTTGGTCACTGGATTTTTTTTCTCTCTCTCTCCTTCAGCCCTCTTGGTGTTGACAGAAACTGAGGTAGGTGTTTAGGCTTCGTAGCAATGATGGATGAAGTAGATCTATTAAACATTAAAAAAAAATTGAAGAGTTGGCAAGATGGGCCCACAATTTGATGAGCCCTTCAAATGCAAGGCTAACTTGACATACACTTTTACTTGTTGCAAATCTCAGAAGAACATTTATATAAATCTCCATGAAATATTAAAGAAAACCATGTGCCTTTTTGGTGTTGATGCTGCCTTGATCTCACTGAAAAAGAAAAGGAGAAAAACAGAGGGCAAGATAAGACCATAACTATCGCTTGTGTACACTGAATGAAAGAATGCAATATAGAACAGTGGTAGAAAATAAAAAGTCAGCAAGTGACTCATAAGTACAAGCCCTGAAATAGCTCAGCTTTGCATATGTGCGGTAGATCTGCTAACGACTAATGAAATAGAACAATGAATCACTTGGGACTAGATTTAAAAGCTCCAGTGAAGTCCACCTACATTTGTAGAACCAGAAATGCCACTGGCTTTCAGCAAGCATGGCTGTCAGCAGCCTGTGGAACAGGAAAGAAGGCCAGCTACTGGTAAGTGCCATGGCACCAGCCCCCTTCCTTTCTTCTCCCCCTGCCTGTCTGGGGAGCACAGGTGTTCAGTGGTTAAGCCTCAGGGGCCACGCCTCTGCTGAGGTAGGTCTCTCTGGTTCCTCTTCTTCTCTTCTGCCGGCCTCAGGCTGCTGAAGGCTCTTCCCTCTTTCAAGGGGACACCACTCTTTTCCTCTGTGGCTTCACTTCTCCCTCCCCCCGCCTAGAGATGCAGGTGTGCTTGCCTCACCTGGTCTCTGCTCCCACCTCACCTAAGTACCTGTCCTCTCCACCCCGAGACCTCACTGCAGATCAGTTCCGGTAAGCAGGCAGGGAGAGAACAGCAAGTGTGGGGGAGCCATGGGGCTCAGGAAATCTCACCAGCTTCTCACCTCCTGGGCCCTGGCTATGAGACAGGCTGGTAAGCGAGGACAGCGGAACAGGGCAACTGAGACAGGGAGCTAAACAGCAGTTTGCAGCTACCTAGTAAATCCTATCTTCCCTAAACCAGGGACGCTTAAGAGTAAATGGTTTGCACTTCTCCCCAACCAGAGGGTGAACAGCTTAAATCTCCCTACTCAGGGAGACAGATACAGAAATCCAACTAGTGCCATTTGCCAACCACACCCAAGGACAGAGGAAGTTAAGAGAATAAACCTCATTTTGGTCCATCAGCATAAAGCTGACGAATATTCTATTGTGATCCTCCCCTATGACCTCTCTGTCCAGCCTTTAAAATCCCTGAAAACAAAGTCCAGTGTGCCCTCTCCCTCCCAGGAGCACACTCCTGCTTCCCCCGCTTTCCCCCCCGACAGGCATGCATCTCCTAAACTCTGAGGGACCCCATGAGGCTTGCAACCAGGGCAGCCATGGGCAGTGGCAGGTCATCCCAGGCAACCCCCCTGAGCCTGTCCCCAAGGCCCCTTTTCTCTGACTTCTTAGCCAGAGCAGCCCGGCCTGGGCTCACTTCCCAGCCCTTTCTTGTTTCACGCCCCCAGCTTAACGTCCTCTAACCTTCACCTGGACTCCTGTTGTGAGCTTTTTCCTGCACGAAGTCAAGAACCCACACACCCCTGCCAGCCCTAAGCAGACCCGCTCAGGGCCAGGACCCCTTTCCAGAAACAGCCAAAACCCCTGCCCCCCGGAAGTCCCTGGGCCTCTGCACACTCTGAGTTCTCTGTCCTGGATTGTCCCATGAGCACAGAGCTCACCTCTCCCTGGCACTTGCTTGACCACCTGTGCGGCCTTGGGCACATCACTGAACCCCTTTGGGCCTCACGTTTCTACCCCTCAGGTTGTAGTGAGGTTTCAGGAAGATAGTCCCCTTAGCACAGTGCCGGTAGATAGTGGGAATTACCATTAGGACTCTGCCCCAAATCTGGTAGCCACGACCCAGCACCCGAAGGGGTCATGCCTGGCATGGCGGGGCCTCCTGGACTTTGCTCCATCCCTGCAGCCAGCGTCCATTCTGATTGCTCAGCACCCGCGCCTTCCTCGTTGCTAAGCATTTTTCATCTTAATGCTGGTTGTACTATGCGCACGAGAGCAAAGTCAGAGAAGTGTGTGCCACTGGGTCATTAAAGGACAAGACGGGTGAGAGAGAATCCCAGCCGCATGGAGGGATGGGAGGGCGGAGGATGGCAAGGCGGCGCCGTTTGTTTGCAACATGATAGGCAAACAGGATCTTAATGGCTTTCACCATAACAGACACTGTAAGGAAGATCGCTGTTTTGGTCTTCGGTGGTGCCATGACAATGCTACAAACGGGGCTTAAAAACAAAAAGAATTTATTTTCTCCCAATTCGGGTGACCAGAAGTCTGCCCTCCCTCGGAAGGTGCTGTCAGGGCCACGATCCCTCTGTAAACTCTAGGAGAGAATCCCTCCTTTCCTCTTGCCATGTCTGGTGGCCCTGGGTGTTCAAGGGCTTTGCAGCACAGCTCCAGTCCGTACCTCCCTCTTCACAAGGCCTTGCCCCTGTGGGTCTTTGTGCCTCACAGTCCCCTCTGCCTTTCTTTTCCAAGAACATCTGTCATTGGAGTTAGGACCCATTCTAAGTTCAAGATTATATCATCTTGAGATCTTTAATCACATCTGCAAACATTTTTTTTTATTTAATAAAATAAGATCACATTCACAAGTTCTGGGGTTAAGACTTGAACATATCTTTTGGGGGAACCACTAGTTTGTACTATCAGCCCAATACAATGATATGCAAAACCAGTGGCTGGTACACAACTTCATAGATTTTCAGAAGGCTAATTCCACATTGAAGAGTATAATGTAGTAGCCTTGGTTTTTACCCAACATGTTCCTCAGCACCCTTCAGCTGCTCTTTCTCCAGGGGAGAACCTGTCTTTTTCAGCTTCTAAAACCCACTTGCATTCCTTGGGTCATGGCCTCACCTTCCTCCCATCTCTACTTCTATCATCTACTTGTAGATGATAGAAGATATAATCTTGAACTTAGGATGGACTTCTCTGACTCTGGCCTTCTTGCCTCCCTCTTATAAGGACTCTTATGATTACATTAGGCCCACCCAGATACTCCAGAATAATCTTCCCATATCAAGGCCCTTATTTTAATCACATCTGCAAAGTCTCTTTCGCTGTGTATGGCAACATAATCAGGTTCCAGGGATGAAGATGTGGACGTCTTGGGGGCTCTTACTCTGTTGACCACTGTTGGAAACTTAGGTTTTATTCTAAGAGCAAGGAAGTGAAGCCAGCAGAATAAGAATCACAAAGCTGAGGAAGAATCATACTGGGCAGCAGAGACCCAAGGGTTAGTCATGGCCAGAGGATGTAAAAGTTAACATAGTAGACCCCTATGCAATATTTTGAAACTGATGGAATATCTGGTCATGTGTAGGGCAACTAGTATAGAATCTATTTTTTCATAGTCTGTGTTTGTTTGGTCTTTCTCAATTAATCCTTTGAGGTTTCTATGAAGCCCCAAGTCCCAGGACACCTTTGGTTATGTTACAGGTGAAAACCTGGACAAGGTGGACCAAGGATGACTATTTTGGTAAGATTCCAAGCCCACATTGAGCAGGCCAGGGGGACTGTCATTTTAGCAGGTACAGTCCTACAACACCTTATCAAAGCACTGCCCAGAAGGGACAGATCCTAGAACCAATCCAAGAATAAGGAAATGGCCAATTGGCAATAGAAAGAAATGTCACAAAACTACCAGAAATTAAAGAATATAGACTATGTTGATTTCTGGAAAGACTCTATTCACAACACTAAGAAGAAAGAATGCGCAGAATTGTTCATACTGGTTACATTTTTGTAAGGCATAATAAGTTAGTAAAGGGGATAAGGACACATATGTAATACCTTAATCAATAAAGAAAAAATAAATAAATTAGTAAAGATTTGAATAGCCTTTTAAGTTTTCTCTACAGTTTGTGACGTTTATTCAAACATGCTTGTGCTTCTGCCAACACCTTCCCGTCTCTGATGTAGCAGAGTTGCTCAAAACTACCCGCAATGCCCTTCAGCGGCTGTCTTTGGGTTGCCTCTCCTTCTCCTGCCTTCACTGGGTTTCTAATCCCATTCCACCTGGCTTCAGCTCTCTTTACCTACCTCATTGCTCTCTTGTTTCGTTGACCCGTTATAATAAACTTCCCGAGTTCACTGGCTGGCTACCCCGTCTGGGAGTCTTGGTTCCCCTTTCAGAGCTGTGGGTAGGAACCTCAGTGTCCCTGGCAGGCCACTCAGGGTCAGACAAGCCAGGCCAGCCCAGCAGGCCTCACCTCCAAGGAGGGGAGCAGAGAGATCCCATGATAATTCCTTTCCAGAAACACATTGGTTGAAAAAGTTACAGGTTCTTTACCAATCCGCAGGAACACTGTATTCAGTCAGAAAATTTTCACAGCAACCCAAATCTTAGAGCTGACACTGACTCTTGGGATCCAGAAAAGTTGTTATCCGATGACACCTTAAAAGGGAAAAACAAGCAAACAAACATGCCCTTCAGGAGACTGGGAGAAAGACAGCTCGGTTCTGATGTGTAATAATCCCCTATATCAAACTATACAGTAAGGGTGGGGAAGAGGGCAGAATAGCATAACAATTTGAAAACACAGATTCTGGACCCAGATTTTCTGGGCTCAACTCTGCTATTGATGGGCTGCTGCTTTTGGATGTGAGACCTAACAGCTCTTTATGCTCATTTCAACATCTGCTCAATCAGGACAACAGCAGTACCTACCTTACTGAGTCGTTTTGAATAGTGCCTGGGATGCAGCAAGCACTCAGTGTGTGTTAACTGCTAGTGTTTTCATGGAATGTTTTCAACTACATCACCAGTATTGGAAACTGCTGACATAGCCCATCTAGCTTTGTAAGCAAGTGGCACCCGTGCACGGAACCTCACAGAGCAGTTAAATTGTGTCTGTTAACACAAAGCCCCACAAAAGCAGCTTGGTGGTTGCTGGGTAGGAGGCTGAAGCATGTTCTCTCTGGTGCTTGGTTTGTTGGTGAGGCAAGATGCTAATGAGACCACCACTGTAGAGTTAAATCCATCATTCAATCTGTTCTATGACCCAAACTGAAGTCTTTGCTCCTCCAACTATCCCTCAGGCATATGCCATTGGCTCTAAAAACGCTTGGCAACCATTATTGGCTATTTTTGGACTAAGGTCACTATTATTAATTGCCACAGTTCCATGGGCAACCTATGATGGGTTATTAGGACCCCCTTCCTGAATGAATAAGAATATATTTTGCCATCAACAGAATTGGGTAAAGGTAATTCAAAGACAAAGAGAATTCCTATAAGGACATACTAATACACAACTTCAAAGTGTACTTCCAAACAAATTACTCCATAAAAGAGGCAGAAAGAGACCTGCTTGCATAATCTTGGATAGTTGGATAAGTCTGTTTCACTTCACCAACTGAAGTTTCTGTTTCCTTATCAGCAGGGGGGGCGGGGGTGGCTGGGGCTGGCGGGGGTGGGATGGTATCTCATTATAGTTTTGATTTGTAATTTCCCTAATGCCAGTGAGGTTTAACATCTTTTCATCTATCTATTGGATGTTCGTATGGGTTGGGGCTGGCGGGGTGGCGGAGGGGAGGGAAGGAGATAGTGGCCTAGATCAGCCTTATTAGAAAGCAAATCCTTCTCCACAAGGAATGCCTGGATCTCACAGTTATTAGAAGCACTGTCCTAGAGCATCTATAATGAGGCCTGGCTCATTTACGGTGCCCCCAGGGCACCAGCAGCCCACCTGGCTTGGACAAAGTTTTCCTTCCTCCTCAAGGCTCACACAGCACGGCCTCCCCTCAGCCCTCCTCTATGCCCTTGGGCCTAGAGCAGTGGTTCTCAACCTTCCCAATGCCGCGACCCTTTAATACAGTTCCTCATGTTGTGGTGACCCCCAACCATAAAATTACTTTCGTTGCTACTTCATCACTGTAATTTTGCTACTGTTATGAATGTAAATATCTGATATGCAGGATGTATTTTCATTGTTACAAATTGAACATAAAGCATAGTTGATTAATCACAAAAACAATATGTAATTATATATTTGTTTTCTGATGGTCTTAGGCGACCCCTGTGAAAGGGTTGTTCGACTCCCAAAGGGGTCGCGACCCACAGGTTGAGAACTCACACATTAGTCTTTAATCACCTCTCTGATACCGTGAGAAAATGCGTACACTCACTTTTTTAAAGAACATTTTTAATATCAGCTTTGCTAAGGTACAATTTATACACCATAAAATTTGTCCTTTTGCCCTAACCAGTTTTGCTCAGTGAGTAGAGCATCAGCCTGCAGACTGAAGGGTTTCAGGTTCGATTCACATCAAGGGCATGTACCTTGGTTGCAGGCACATCCCCAGTAGGGAGTGTGCAGGAGGCAGCTGATCGATGTTTCTCTTTCATTGATGTTCCTAACTCTCTATCCCTCTCCCTTCCTCTCTGTAAAAAAAAATCAATAAAATATATATATTTTTAAAATTTTCCTTTTAAAATAACATTTTTAAGATATATTTCTATTGGTTTCAGAGAGGAAGGGAGAGGGAGAGATAGAAACATCAACGATGAGAGAGAATCATTGATCGGCTGCCTCCTGCACACCCCACACTGGGGATGGAGCCCAAAACCCGACATGTGCCCTGACTGGGAATCAAACCGTGACCTTCTGGATCCTAGGTCGATGCTCAACCACTGAGCCACACCAGCTGGGCACGCATCATTTCTTTCTTCGCCATCATGATGTTACGCTTGTCAGTAGAGAGTGCTGGAGAAACGTGGCACAAGGGTTTTGCTTCCTGGTTCCAGCATGTTCCATGGCAATGCGGGCCACTCCTTCAGTGTCTGGCTCTTGCAACATTGATGCCTTCGCTAGCATCTGGGTCCTTCAGCAGCACCTAGCAGCCCAGTTTATCATGGCACCTCCCTCAGGTAAGCGTTCTCATATACAGCTTTCCCCAGCATCCTAGAGAACGAATTCCCAGCAAGTTCCGCTGGAATGGTGTGGGCGTGACTTGTCTGTCCATCAGTAAGACACAGCTGTGCCCGCTCCAACAAGGTTGGATCTCAAATGGGGGTGGGGATATGGAAGTGCCTGGCTCTCTACATCTGCTATTCCTGCTTCTTTGGAACTCATTTTACTTCTTGCTAGCCAATTCCTTATTAACTAATTGCCTGTTACAGTTAATAATTCTTTAGGTTAAACTTTGATCTAATGTTCAAATGATCAAGTGGCTCCTCTCTTCCTGACGAGCACTGCAGGACACAGATGACAAGTGAGACCAGGCTCTGATGGCATTGACTGGGCCAGAAGCCACCTCTTCCTCTGGGCTCTTCAGTTACATAAGTCAACACTACTTTTTCTTTATTTGAGCCATTTTGAGTTGGGTTTCTACCTCTAGCAGAATCTCAATTACATAAACCACAAAAGGAGAAGGAACAATGAAGGTTTACCCATCAAAATGTCATCTACTTAGTCCTGGCTGGTTTGGCTCAGTGGAGAGCGTTGGCCTGCAGGCTGAGGGGTCCTGAGTTCGATTCCAGTCAAGGGCACATGCCAGGGTTCCCAGTGGGGGGCCTGCAGGAGGCAGTGATCGGTGATTCTCTCTCATTATTGATGTTTCTGTTTCTCTCTCTCCCTCTCTGAAATCAATAAAAATACATTTTAAAAAATGTCATCTACTTTGGCGGCAGTATGAGAACTATTTACATTTCCACTGTGTGAAGGAAAAATTTGAATGTTAAGGTCAGTTTGAATTGTAGGACCATACTATACCAAACGGAACCAATGGGGGAGACATGATCTCAGTTCATTGTGAAAGCATGAGGAAGGACCTGCCAGCAATTCAGTGGAATGAACTGCCTTGTCCATGGCGAGGGCCCTCTCCCTGGTGGTGTTGGGGGAAAGGGGGAACAGTCACACTCAGGTATGCTATGGAAGAGATTATTGCACTGGGTGGGAAATGCAACTAAATGACCTATGAAGTTCCTCCCAGATCTAAATTCTGCTATTAGGTTTGTGAAAATCCCTTAGCCCCAACCCCATCAGACAGTCCCAGTTAGGAGAAAACCAGACAAGGACTACATTGTGTATCATGTGAATCCCTCGGGACCGGAACTTTGGGTACAGCCGGATGTTATCATTCTGATGCAAAGAAAAAGGACTAAGTCACCAGATAGGTGTGTCTAAATGAGACTTCTTGGCCCTGCTAAGAACACAATGTATGGCATGAAAACAGGAAAGCAATTACTGTAAATAAAATCACTCTGAAAGTAAGTGTATTTATTATTATTATTGTTATTATTTTGGATTACAACAGGCCTCTATTTTACCCTTATGACACCTATCAGTCCATCCCAAAGCTTTCTCAGTTTCTCTCCCTCCTCTTCCCCTCCTAAAAGTCCCCTCAGTGTTTTTACCCCATCCTCCCTGCAGGTCTTCATCGGAGTAGAACACCCTGCTACCATCTCCCTTCACCCTTGCAGGCAGGGTCTTGGGCGAAAATAAGCATATTTAAACACTTAATTTTAATTTGGCTTAAGCATATTTATCTGACTCAGAATTAGATTGCTTAATGGGTAGGTAAATATAAAGGGTTCCAAGATCCCAGCTTCACACAAGGTATGGAACATTAAGCTGGAAGGCAGCCAACATTGATTCTGTTCCTGCTTTTTATAGTGACCTTGGGACAAGGGGGTGGGGTGGAGGGGAAGAAGAAAAAGAACTTGATTTTGCTGAGCTTTGGCTTATCCCAGTACACGAATAAAAAAAAATTAAAAAAAACAATAGTCACACCCCCATCACAGAGTTTGTGAAAGTTAAACAGGAAATGCCTACAAAAATAGAAAACAATGTATTCATTATGAACATAATAGGTATTTTTAGTCAGAATCTTTTAATGCAAAGGTTTTGGGGCATAAGTTATACTGAAAGCTGTATTATTTAGTTATTTCCCAACACCCTCTGAAATAATGTAACTTTTAAAGCTATCCAATCAAAACCTAGCTAGTTCTAACACATAAGTTGGTTTAACATATACCAAAAAAACCCAAAACAAACATAGCAAGTGAAACTGAAACCTATAGAAAATCAGTAACAGTGGACTCAAAGGCATAATGTACCCAGGAAGTCAGAGGCAACTTTATATGGAGTAGTCCTAGACCAAACATGTCAGCAAATCAGATCATTCTTTTTCACTTTAAATAATTTTTTCCTTGTCTGTCAGGGGAAAATATCCAACCACTGCTCCATCACAGGTTTTGTGGAGCAAAACTTGCTTTCAAGTTTAATCACTTGCTTTGTCCTTCTATTTGCTCTTGTTCTATTTAATTTTTTTGTATGCAGACCGCATCCTGAAGGGAAAATCATTTTTAAACCTAATTCTTACGGATATCCTCACCCCGGGAACGTTTTGTGATTGCTTATTTACTCCTTACACAGCGGGAGGAAAGGCAGGAACTGGTTAGAGGCAAGAAGGGTCGGGACGGCCCCAGAATTAAACCTTCAGTGTCTGGTCCATGGATAGATCTATCCATGTTCAAGTCACTCCAAAGCCTCATGTATGATTTAGGGGTCATCATCTGCTGCCCAGACCATCACAGAAGAGCCTCAACACTCTGCAGCTGAAGGGAAGGGGCTTGGGAAACCACATTTGCGATGTTCTCCTAAAGCCTGGAGCTGTGAGAGGAGACCAAAGAAAGCATCGGTGATCACTTGCAGATGCTTTATTATAGGAAACTAGAGGCCTGGTGCACAGGTTCATACACATTGAAAGTAAATTAATTAGAAGGTGGCTGGCGGGGCAGGACTGGGAGAGACGGGATGGACACACCCTGGAGCCAACCTCCTGTGGGCCCTCCCTGGCCGGCCACACCTGGGAGACACCGGTACTCAAAGGGCATCTGCTGAGTGGGGTTCCTTGGCCTGGCCTGCGGGGATCAGGCCAAAACCCACAGTCCGACATCCCCCGAGGGGTCCCAGAGTGCGAGAGGGCACTCTGCAAAGTTGCTTTTGCTTGGCAGCTCTTGCGTTAAGGGTCTGCCCTCTGGTGGTCGTTGTGTGTCATAGCTACTGGTCGGACAGTCAGCTTTTACACACACACACACTTTGGAGATGAGACAGAAGTGGGGTGGTTAGGCATAAGTAGAACTCAACTCCAAAGGTGGGTGTGTGCCTCCTGCAAGCGCCAGTGTGAAGGCTTGGGGCCCTGTAACCTGGAGTGAAAAGATGGGGAAGGTGGAGCACCCAAGAGGTGGGTCTGCAGAGACCATTGTTAGAGGAGCTCTCCTCTCTGTTTAGAATAGGAAAGGTAGCAGGAACTCGGCACAGCTAACCTCTTGCACGAACCATAGAAATGCTGGCCAGTCAGGGGCATCGAGGGAGTGGGATGTGGAGGCTGACACGGGGAGCGCAGCCATTTTTGTTGGCTAGCAAC